GTGTAAATATTCCATCAGGGCCAATTTCAACATACCAACAGTTTAACAACTGTCTTACCACTGCCCGCCCCCCAAAAAACTCCTGAATATTTAGTGATTGGTTTTTGTTGTGCTTTTTTTTTTTAAATTGTTTTTTTGAGACAGAGTCTGACTGTGTTGCCCAGGCTGAAGTGCAGTGGCGTGATCTCAGCTCACTGTAACCTCAGCCTCCCGATTCGATTCTCCTGCCTCAGCCTCCTGAGTAGCTGGGATTACAGGCGCCTGCCACCACGCTTAGCTAACTTTTGTATTTCTAGTAGAGACAGGGTTTCATCATGTTTGTTAGGCTGGTCTAGAACTCTTGATCTCAAGTGATCTGCCTGCCTTGGCCTCCCAAAGTGCTGGGATTACAGGCGTGAGCCACTGCACCTGAAACTTTTCTTTTTTTCTTTTTTGAGATGGAGTCTTGCTGTGTGTCACCCAAGCCTGGAGTGCAGTGGTGCCATCTTGGCTCACTGCAACCTCTGCCTCCCCAGTTCAAGCGATTCTCCTGCCTCAGCCTTCTTAGTAGCTGAGACTACAGGTACGCACCACCACACCAGCTAATTTGTGTATTTTTAGTAGAGACAAGGTTTTACCATGTTGGCCTGACTGGTCTCGAACTCCTGACCTCAAGTGATCTGCCCACAGTGGCCTCCTAAGCACTGGGATTACAGGCGTGAGCATGACTTGTGGACTCTTTTAGCCCTCACTGAACCTCCAGGTTATGGATGAATGTTAGTATCCCCTCAAGATTCATATGATGAAAACTAATACCCAAAGTGAGAATATTAAGAAGTAGAGTGTCTGTTGAGCAGTCTAGGGATGGATGGATGGATGGATGGACGGACGGATGGATGGATGGATGGATGGACAGACGGAGACATAAAGATAGATAGATAGATAATAAATAGGTAAGACTTTTGGGACATGGTCAAGTCATGAGGGCTTCATCCTTGTGAATGGAATTCATGCTCCTATTTTATTTATTTTATTATTTATTTATTTATTTTGAGACAGTCTTGATCTGTTGCCCAGGCTGGACTGCAGTGGCTCAATCTTGGCTCACTGCAACCTCAGCCTCCCGGGTTCAAGCGATTCTCCTGCCTCAGCCTCCCGAGTAGCTGGGATTACGGCGCCCCTGCCGCTGCACCCAGCTAATTTTTGTATTTTTAGTATAGACGGAGTTTCACCATCTTGGCCAGGCTGGTCTGGAACTCCTGACCTCGTGATCCACCTGTCTCAGCCTCCCAAAGTGCTAGGATTACAGGTAGGAGCCATTGCGCCCGGCCAGGGCTGTGCACTCTTTGGAAATACTGGTCAGTCTGAGGAAGGACCCTGCACTCTGAGGAAGGACCACACACTTGTGGAAGTACTGCACACCCTGAGGAAGTACCGCGCAGTCTGAGGAAGAAAGGCGCACTCTTGTGAAAGTACCGTGCACTCTGAGCAAGGACCACGCACTCTTGTAGAAGGACCGCACACTCTTGTGGAAAGACCGCGTACTCTGAGGAAGGACCGTGCACTCTTGTAGAAGGACTGCACAGTCTGAGGAAGGGCCGCGCACTCTAGTGGAAGGACCGCGCACTCTGTGGAAGGGCCGCACGCTCTTGTGGAAAGACCGCGTACTCTGAGGAAGGACCGCGCACTCTTGTAGAAGGACTGCGCAGTCTGAGGAAGGGCCGCGCACTCTAGAGGAAGGGCCGCGCACTCCTATAGAAGGACCGCGCACTCTTGTGGAAGGATCGCGCACTCTGAGGAAGGACCGCGCACTCTTGTAGAAGGACCGCCCAGTCTGAGGCAGGGCTGCGCTCTCTGACGAAGGACCGCGCACTCCTGAAGAAGGACCGCGCACTCTTGTGGAAGGACTGCGCGTCTGAGGAAGCACCGTGCACTCTCGTGGAAGGATCACACACTCTGAGGAAGGACCGCGCACTCTTATAGAAGGACCGCGCCTCTGAGGAAGGACCGCGCAGCCTAAGGACCGCACACTCTTGTGGAAGGACTACGTACTCTTGTAAAAGGACCGCGCCTCTGAGGAAGGACTGCCACTCTGAGGAAGGACCACCCACTCTAAGGAAGGACCGCGTAGTCTGAGGAAGGACCATCACTCTGAGGAAGGACCATCACTCTGAGGAAGGACCGCGTAGTCTGAGGAAGGACCGCCACTCTGAGGAAGGACCATCACTCTGAGGAAGGACCGCCACTCTGAGGAAGGACTGCTCAGTCTGAGGAAGTACCGCGCAGTCTGAAGAAGTACCGCGCACTCTGAGGAAGGACTGCCAGGTTGTCTCTCTGGAAAGTTTCCTGTTGCTCATGCAGAGAATATTCAAGTTTTGTTTCAGCCTTCCAGAATTTCCCTCCTGCCTGGGGGAATCATCCTCCACCCTGTTATTCAGTCTTGGAGGAAGGCACCACCCATCATCGGATGTCAAATCAAAGCTCCCCCAGGCTTAGCGGGTGTGGGCACGGCAGTGTGTGGGAGTCAGATCTCCATCTGTCTGGTCTCGCCTTGTTCCTAGTCCTTTTCAGGGGTGCTCTTCCAGCTCCCTCCAATCCATCCAGGACTGTCCATCATGAGTGACACAAAGGCAAAGAGCGGGGCAGGACAGCCTGGCTGACTTCCCCCTCGAGACTAGACACGGTGTGTTGGTGTGTTGGTTGGAGGGGTCCCCAAAGGGACACAGAAGTCCCGGGGTGGGGGGGGGGGCGGTTCAGAAGAGAAGAGATGGAGCCTGAATGGGCAGAAGCAGCAGCTGTGCTGTTAGGAGCTGGAGTGAATCCTGTGAGCCCAGACCCCTGGGATGAGATCCACAGACGTGGTCCAGTCCTTTACTCTTTTGGTGCCTCAGTTTCCCCATCTGTACCATGGGGTAACAACAGAGCATACCTCTTCGGTTGGTTATGATGATAAACAAACTGGACTTTAAAAAGGTCTGGCCCAGCACACTCACTCTGTGTTTGCTGTTATCAGAATCCTGTCCTCAGACCCCGGCCTGACACCACCTCTCACTCCCTCTCATGCCTCCCAGTTGCTTCCTGAAGGTCTGCAGCTTCTCCTAAGGAAAGAGACCACTACTACTCCTGCTGCCCTCCTCCCCTGACCTTGCCTAGTTCACAAGACAGCATGAAAGAGAGAAAGGAACAAAAGTAAGATAAATAGCCAGACAACCTTGGCACCACCACCCGGCCCCAGGAGTTTAAAAAAAAAAAAACAATAATAATATCAACCCCTGGCTTAACCTACTTGTGTTATCTGTAAATCCCAGACCCTGTATGAAAAAAGCACTGTAAAACTTCTGTTAGCTGATGCACGTAGCCCCCAGTCACGTTTCCCAAGCTTGTTCAATTTATCATGACCCTTTCATGTGGACCCCTTAAAGTTGTAAGCCTTTAAAAAGGCCAAGAATTTCTTTTCTGGGGAGCTCAGCTCTTAAGATACGAGTCTGCCGACGCTCCTGGTGGAATAAAGAACCTCTTTCTTCTTTAATCCGGTGTCTGAGGAGTTTTGTCTTCGGCTTGTCCTGTTACACTCCCAGCCTGTCTTCTCCCCCACACAATGGGCACGGTAACATCCTTAACACGCACCTCTCAGTGTGAAACCAACCCGCTGAGGTCACACACCAAGTTCCTGTAAGTGTTCTGCATTCGTTACTGTATTTTCCTTTTGAGATGAAGTCTCGCTGTGTTGCCCAGGCTGGAGTAGGGCAGTGGTGCGATCTCAGCTCACTGCAACCTCCGCCTCCTGGGTTCAAGTGATCCTCCCACCTCACCCTCCCAAGTAGCTGGGATTCCAGGTGTCCACCATCATGTCTGGCTAATTTTTGTATTTTTAGTAGAGTCAGGGTTTCACCGTGTTGGCCCGGCTGGTCTTGAACTCCTGAGCTCAAGTGATCCACCCGCCTTACCCTCCCAAAGTGCTGGGATTACAGTGTGAGCCACTGCACCCAGCCTTTTCAAAATCAGGCCCTTTCCAGGAGGGGCATTACTACGAGTCCTGTTTTAGGAGGTAGGTGCTGAGGCCTGTGGTCACTTGCCCTTCCTGGACAGCCTGGCACCTAAACCCTTCCCTGCACTGAGTCTGGAAGGCAGACCTAGGCTCCAGTGATGTGCCCTGGACTGTCCAGGTGACTTGTGTTCCCAGATGCCCTTGCAGCCCAGCTTGGGCTGTACATGCCCCAGTGCTTGACTCGGAGCCAGAAGCTGAAGCAGAGCACAAGGCAGTGACCGTGGTGGGGCTCGGACACAAGGCAGTGACCGTGGTGGGTTTGACACAGAACCCCTGCCAGGCTCAGGCGCTGGGCATGCAGAAACCAAAAGGACCAGGGTGAAGCCAGCCCCAAGACTGGGTGGCAGGGGAGTGGTCAGACCAGCGCTCTCATCCTCCTTTCCAAAGTCTGACAACTGCCTTTCATCCACCTGCAGAGGCTGGAGATTTCCTCCCTGGAGAGAAGGAACTGGGGTTGCTCGCTGAGCTGACAAGAGGAGGCACCCTGGAAAGATGGAGCTGGCCAAAGCCTGTCCTCCATAAGGAACATCCTCCTTGGTCAACGGCTCCAACTAAAGATGAGAGGATTCCTCAGGTGGCAGAACAGGCCACCCAAGACCTACCGACACTGACACCCGGGACCCCAGCGAAACAGTGGCCTTAGCAAGGGAGGTAGGTGCCATTATCATCACTCGTGGATGTGGAACTCATGCTCAGAGGGTATGACCAACAGGTAGGTCACCAGCCAGGAAGCTGAAGGGCTCAGACGCGAACCCAACTCAGTGTGGTGTTCAGCAGGTCCCTTCCAGGAGCCTCATCCCTGCCTCCATAGGATGGAGGTGGAGACAGCCCTCCTGAGGATACATTTCCTGCACTGCTTCCCACGGCTGTGCCCAGATTCCCAGAGCTTCTCTCATGCCGAGAGTCTGCTGTGGGAACCAAGACAGCAGAGCCCAGGAAGCTGCTCCAGACAGAGTCCAGACAGAGCACAGACTCCGGGTCTACACACAGTGACTTTATTACTCTCTGGATGCTGGTGAACTGCCATCCCCAACCAGCTTCATGGGAGCAGGCATCTCTGTCCATCCCATGCCTTTGGGTCACGGGGGCAGCGAGATCAAGGAGCCCACAGGGGCGCCCTGGGTTCAACTTGTCAGAGCCATCAGCCGCTGCCTCCCGCTGCCCCCCCCAATCTGTCCTGCGGGAAGAGAATTCCTAGGGACAAGACCCAGACCCCTTTCCTTCAGCCTCCGCTTCATCAAGGGGGCCTGGCCTGTGGCTGCTCCTGAGCTCTTCCTCGCCTGCCCCTCAGGGGTCCCAGGTCCTCACCTCTGCTTTTCAGGCAGGAAAAGGGCAGGGAGAGAGGAATGGAGGAAGGTGAGGGAGGCTGGGCCGAAGGAGAGAGAAGGTGGGGGAAGGCGGAGACATTAGGAAGAGGCCCCTTCACACAGCGAGAGAGGCCGAGAAATCAGGGAGAAGAGGGGCTGAGGTGAGACCTGAGCAGGAAAGTGAAATCTGGGGGAAAAGGAGTTGGAAAGGAATAGAGAGGAAGGCGTTGGGAAGTTCAGACAAGGGAGGCGGCGGTGGAGGAGGGTGGGCGGGAGGGAAGGAGGAGGAGGGGAAGAGGACAAGTGGCACTGGGAGAGAGGAGGGACGGCCCAGGGGGCAGCACCAAGGGCGGGAGGCGCCGCGGGCCGGACGGCGGCTAACCCAAGGGCCAGGGCGGGAAGGGGCCCCCACCATCGGGGCCCGGGGCGACCGTCCCCTGCGTGCTGGCGGCTGCCCTGCCGTGGATGCGCTGGTGGCGCAGCACGTGCTCGCGGCGCCCGAAGCCCTTGCCGCACTCCCAGCAGGCAAAGGGCCGCGCTCCCGAGTGCGTCTTGCGGTGGCGCACCAGGTGCTCGCGCCAGTAGAAGGTCTTGCCACACTCGCAGCACGCGTGGGGCTTCTCACGGGCGGGCAGAGGGCGCAGCGCGGGCCCGGGGCTGCCGGGGTGCGTGTCGCGGTGGCGCCGCAGATGCTCCTTGCGCCGAAAGGCCTTCCCGCACTCCGGGCAGGCGTGCGGCTTCTCGCCCGAGTGGCTCTGCCGGTGGCGCAGCAGGTGAGCTGGTTTCAGGGACGTCTTGCCGCACTCGGGGCAGGACGTGGTGCCCGGGGCCGCCAGGAAGGCGGGCAGGCCAGGCGCCAGCGGGGGGCTGCTGGGCTCCTGCTTGTAGGGGCGCACAGCCTGGGAGTCCCCAGGCGCCGGCCCCTCAGCCCCAGGGGTGGTGCCTGCTGGGAAAAGAAACAGAGTCAGCCTCTGGGTCTGCACCAGGGCGGGGCAGGCACAGCACAGGCTGGGGTGGAGGCAGGGAGGGAACGCTTAAAGCAGAAACCATTGGGGTGGGAAGAGGGCTAGGATGTGGGCTGGGATGTGGGCTTCTTCATGCCTGTGTCCCCCGTACCTAGTAGTGCCTGGCATACAGTCAATGCCCCATACTTAATAGTTGATGGCTGGCTGGCTGGATGATGGATGGGTAGATGAAGAATGTGTGGGTGGATGATGGGTGGATGAATAGACGGATGATGGATGTACAGACGATGGATGGGTAGATGAAGAATGCGTGGGTGGATGAATGTCCAGACGATGGATGGGTGGGTGCGTGGGTAAGTAGATGGATGGATGGGTGATGGATGGGTAGATGATGAATGTGTGGGTGGATGAACGTCCAGATGATGGATCGGTGGGTGCATGGGTAGATGAGTAGATGGATGGATGGGTGGGTGATGGATAGATGGGTGATGATGGATGGATGACAGATGGATGGTGGGATTGGTGTGAGGGGGAACAGGTGAAGGATGGATGGATGCCTGGTTGAATGACAGAGGGATGGATGGGTGAATGGGTGGGTATATGATACAGAAATGGATAGGTGGAGGGTGGATGATGGCTAGATGGGTGCATGATGGATGGATGGGTGGACCTCCAACCCCAAGGCCCACCGCACCCACAATGCCCGCCCCTTGGGTCTGAACCCTGGGGCTCCTCAAGGGCTGGGGTCCAGGTCTGCCCTTACCCTGGTGCCAGGATCGTTCACTGAACACCCCCATCCCCAGTGCTGGGGGCTGGCAGGGAGAACCAGGGAAGCCAGTGGCTCACCTAAGGGAACCATCCCACTGTCCTCCTTTCCAGCTGTGGCCCCAGGGCCCTGCGTCACGTCCTGAGGCGCCCTTGTTGCTGACGACCCATCAGGGGAGGTTGCTGGCCCCTGAAATGAGAGCACACGTTTTGAACTCAGACACCTGAGTGACGGTCTCTGTTTCTCCCTCTCCCCACCATCGTCAACCAGCTGTGGAATCCCATCCCTGCTGGGGGGAAGCCACAGTCATGCTGGGGGACACTGAAGCTGCCCCATGGAGAGGCCCACAGGTGAGGAACCAAGGCCTCCTGCTAACCCCCTGGCAGGAGGCCAACACTGCACTGTGACCTCACAGGAGACCCTGGGCCAGGTCCGCGTGTCCAAGCCACTCGCAGACTCCTGACCCACAGAGGCTTTCTGAGCTGACAGATGTTACTGTTTTACACCCAAGTTTGGGGTGACTTGTCAGGAAGCAAGAAATAACTAATATACCTGTCTCAGACCAGCTTCTTCCTGCCCTTTGGATAAAGTGCTAGCTCCTTAGCAAAATGCAGAATACATAAGCTTTTAACTTGGGAAAAACATAAACTAAGTTCAGAAACGACTTTTCTCAGCGTGAAATGGCAGAACAGCTGCCAAGCAGGATGGCGCCAGCCAGGAAGACCAAAGTTTCAGTCCAACTCTGGTTGTGGTTTCTTTGCCCTACTACATCATTCCTCAAAACCACGTCCCCAAGGGAAGGGGATGGCAATTCTTATGGCAATTCTTCTGGTGCCGGTGACAGCTAAGCCACGCATCACACCTTTTCCCTGTTTCAAATCTTTTTGGCCACAGGAGTACCTGGATCATAAAGCAATTCTTGGTGTGAAAATTAGCAGTGCCTAGGCCGGGAGCGGTGGCTCAAGCCTGTAATCCCAGCACTTTGGGAGGCTGAGGCGGGCAGATCACGAGGTGAGGAGTTCGAGACCAGCCTGGCCAACATGGTAAAATCCTGTCTCTACTAAAGATACAAAAAATTAGCTGGGCGTGGTGCCACGCACCTGTAATCACAACTACTCGGGACGCTGAGGCAGGAGAATCACTTGAACCCAGGAGGCAGAGGTTGCAGTGAGCCGAGATCACGCCACTCCACTCCAGCCTGGGCAACAGAGTGAGACTCTGTCTCAAAAAAAAAAAAACCAGCAGGGGCAAACCATCTGCCCTCACTCTGACAGACAAGAAAACGTTTCCTAAAGAAGGGGTCAAGATACAGGAGCATGGGCGTGGCGGCTCATGACTGTAATCCCAGTGACTCAGGTGGCTGAGGCATGGGACAGGGGCTTGGCACAAGGCTGACTAGATCCTGGGTGCCTCCCAACCTGGCTATGGCACCGTGATGGGCTCGGGGCCCCATCGGAGAGTCAGAACAGCACAGTCTCACCCAGGCCCAGAGCACCACCCTGGACCACCCTCCAGCTCCTTGGCCCTTGGCGGGGCTCCCATAACCCTTGTGTGTTGTCGGCCACAGGCAGAGGCCGGGCAGGGGTGCTGTCCTGCCCTCAGCTCAAGGGCACCGGGGTCGACACACCTGAGAGTGGAGCCCGGGAAGCCGTGCCAGCCGGGGGTTCTCCCAGAGATCTTGGGCACAGAAAAGCCTGAGATCTACCCATTCCTCTGGGCACTTCCCGGTTTGAGGTCCCAGAGACAGGGGATGCTGGCCAGGCATCATCCACAGGAAGAGACATCCAGGGCACACCCACGCGGGGACAGGTGCCCCTTGCGGGGCCAGGCACACAGAAGGGGGGAGCACGGAGCAGCCCCAGGCTCCTAGTCCTCCCTGTGATTTTGTGATATGTATACATTGGGTTCTGTCTATGGCTCCTGGCTCATGACTCCCACAGCCCTTGTTACAGTCTTGTTCTAACGCTGGGAAGTTTTAGGCCTCAGAAAGTCTCTCCCTGACCTTCTGCCCCACTTTCACCTGCTCTTCTTTCTCCGCAAGGCGGGCCTTAAAAACTAAAAATATACTTCAATCTTCCCCCACCTCTGGCCATAACACAATTTTCTGACCTAATTTATCTGATTGTGGCCATAACACCCCCCTTCAGAAGGGGTCCTGCCCCTACCCTGGAGGAAAGAAGGCTGAACAGGGAGGCCAAGAAGGGTCTGAACACACAGGCCTTGTGAGGTTTCCCTGCTCGGTCTACTCGGATTAGATCATACCCGTTTTATCTAATCGCATTTCTACATGGCTGTCCATGCTTCAATTATGCCTCTAACCAAGTGTCCATAAAAGGCCCAAAGGACAGGGTTCAGGGAGCTTCCAGAGAGCTGAACACGCGGAGGCGGACAGCAAAGTAAACCAGACCTCACCCTCATGCCGGGAGGATGGTGCACCCCAAGTCCACAGGGACAGAGGTTCCTGCGCTCAGAACCCTTCCAGACCTCACGTACGTGGCGCTCCATCTGGCTGTTCGCCGGTATCCGTTAAAATCTCCTTGGTGATAAATCGGTAAACATGTCTCCCTGGTTCTGTGGGCACGCTAGCACATTAACCGAACCGGAGGAGCGGCTGCGGGAGCCCGACTTTCAGCCCGCCAGTTGGAAGCATGGATGAAATAACCTGGGGCTTGTGACTGGCATCAGAAATGGGGGGCCAGTCTTGGGGTGTGAGCCCTCAACCTGTGGGATCTGGCGCTGTCTCCAGGGAGACTGTGTTGGAAATGCATTAGAGCTTGCGTCTGCTGCAGAGCTGATTGCTTGTACAGTATGTGAGGGGACGCCCCCTCCAACATTTGGTCACAGACGTCTTCTGTGGTCACTGATGCTGAGAATAGAAAAAGATACTTCGAGTGTGTTTTTTCCACAGATCCCCCTGCCCCTGAACCAGCTGTGTCACCTCGGGCAAGCTGCTTCCCTTCCCTGAGATGACTCCAGGACCTGGGACGGACCCTGCGGGGCCGTGTGGAGACTGGACAAGACGCCACTGCTGTGCAGTGAGGATCAGCCCTGTCCAGAGAGGTCTGGCCTCTGCCCTCGGCTCCAGGGAGGGTCATGTCTACGCCCCCAGAACACACTGCCTGATGGCAGAGTCTGCTCACCTGGGGCACTGGACCACCTGGGTGGGCTGAGCCAACAGTGTGACTCAGGGTTGGGGATCTGTGCCACGTGCATCAGCTCTGCCTCTGCTGGGGCTGGAGGAGAAGGTCAGCATATCCACACACGCAACCCCAATTGACACCCAGGACGCTGGGCTCGGGGGAGCGTCCCTGGCCAGCAGCTCAGGAGAAGGTCAGCATATCCACACACGCAACCCCAATCGACACCCAGGACGCTGGGCTCGGGGGAGCGTCCCTGGCCAGCAGCTCCCCTGCATGCTGTCACACGTTGTTGCCGAGAGGAGTTAGCGCCGTCCACACTCCACAGCGAGAGGACAGCTGGAAACTCCGAGCACAGAGCCTTCCTCCACCCGTTCCACGCATCTCTTTCCTTGGCTGGTTGTCATCTGTGTCCTTTCTCTGTAATAAGCTGTGACCCTGTGTGTGACTGATGGAGCCAATATGGCACGGCTAGGAACACACTGCCTGATGGAGCCCTCCTTACATCCATCCCTGGAGGGCTCAGGAATCCAGATTCCAAAATTGCAGCTGAGGAAGCCAAGGTTCTGAGAGACCCAGACACGTGTCCAAGGTCACCCAGCTTGGAAGAGGTGGAGGCAGGACTCATATCCAGCTTTGAAGTCTGTGTACTTATAACTGAGAGACTCTGGTCGGCTTTGAAGTCTGTGTGCTTTAACTGAGAGACTTCCTAAGGATGGAGCATCCTCGTGTATCTGGGCTAAGCTCCACGTGCCCCAGCACATCAGCCTGTCCACCCACTGCAGGATCAAGCTGCCCATGTTCTGTTGAGGATCCCATGAGACTGGCTGCAACCTTCTTTTCCTGTGCTGTCCTTGTCCTGTTAGGTGGTTGGGGGTGGGGTGGGGGTGGCAGCCTTGCCAATGAGCTGGGGAACACCTTCCCTGTGTTCTGGAAGTTTGTGTGAAAGATGAGAAGATGAAGCTGGCACGGTGGCTCACACCTGTAATCCCAGCACTTTGGGAGGCCGAGGTAGGCGGATCATAAGGGCAGGAGTTCAAGACCAGCCTGGCCAACATGGAGAAACACCGTCTCTCCTAAAAATACAAAAAAAATTAGCCGGACGTGGTGACACACGCCTGTAGTCCCAGCTACGCAGGAGGCTGAAGCAGGAGAAGTGCTTGAGCCTGGGAGGTGGAGGTTGCAGTGAGCCGAGACCACGCCACTGCACTCTAGCCTGGGTGACAAGAGTGAGGCTCCACCCCCAAAAAAAGAACAGATGAGAATGATCAGTTCCTTGGAGGCCTGGCAGAACTTACACATAAAGTGCTGGAACCCAGTGCCTTCTGTACGCGAAGGTCTTTCATAACCTTTTGCTCTCCCCCTCTCTGGTTTCCAGGCTCACATCTGCCACTACGTCATGAGCATATGTTGGTGATTTATGTTTTCCTAGAAAACTGTCCATTTCATCTAGGACTTCGAATGCATTGTGCACGCTGAACACGGTGTTCTCAAGAGCTGTCAAATCCGCTCCATCCCCGGCTTTGCTTCCACCATCAGTGTTTGTGCTGTTTCTTGTTTTCCCCCTAGTCAACTTGCTGAAGGTTTGCGCTATTCTGCCATTCTTTTCAAATATTGAGCTTGGGGTTTGATTATCAACCTGTCCTCTGCAAATCTGCTAAGTTTGGCTTTAACATTGAACAGCTACCCTGTGCTATTTTCCTGTGCTCCTGGCTGCCTCTGGAGCCCCACGGCCTCCCCTACAACTCTGACCTGAGACGCAGGCTGACTGGGGCATTTCCTGTCAAGCTAACCGGGTACTGGCTACAGCTGCCTCTCCCCGCCTCCCAGCCCTACCCCACTGGCTTTTCTCTGCATTTCCCCGCTTGGCAGATGCCCTGCCCCCATCTGTCTCAAACTATCCCCTTTCCCTATTGTGTGCCTGAGGCCAGATGCTGAGTGACTACAGCCAGGTCATTCCATCTTTCTGGGCAGATCAGATTCTCTCTCCACAGAAGTGAGGAAGGCGACCATATCCTGGTCTTCCTGTCAAACCCTGTATTTCAAAGCAGG